CTGCAACTTCACTGGTGTCAAAGGTCACGTGACATCACTTCCTGATGTGATACCACTTCCTGTGATGTCTTTGAATATGGCTCGCTGGCCCCCTGGGGGATAAAAAGTTCGTAATCCAGCCCCACATTGACACCCCTGATACAAATACATTAATGTAGCTATATTACCCCAGAATTTTGTACTTGATCAATTATAGATGAGTATTTTTGGTGAAAATAGGGTATCAGGCCTTGGTTCGGGAACCAATCCCCCATTTATAACATTGTTTCTTATGAGAAAATTGGTTCCGAGTTACAACATTTCGATTTAAGACTTAATTGGTTCCTGGTTTTCAGGAACCAATTGTGTCGTAAGTCCGAGGACTGCCTGTGGACTGTTACTAGAACTGCAGTTACGTAAATAATGGGAAACCATCTTTAGCACTGCATTTAGGGATGTTATAATATTCCAGGACAAAACTAATGGCAGTAGCGATTTTCTAGAAATTTTGTTCTGTTGCAAATCACACAGTAGTAGCTTTGTATATGTGAGTGGATGGAAAGTAACAATACATTGATGTGATCCTTTTAGTATGCTGTGTTTCTGGTTTAATCATGATATTAATCCTTGTTTTCAATGAACATTAAGCTTTCCCCATTTTCTATGAAGTTATAAAGAGCAGGCCCTCTTTTCAGGGGAGACTAAACAAACTGAATGCAGCCTACATATTAAAGATATAGAAGAAGTATGCTGTGTTTCTGGCTTAATCATTATATCTTTAATATGTAGGCTGCATTCAGTTTGTTTAGTCTCCCCTGAAAAGAGGGCCTGCATTTTAAGCTTTCCCCATTTTCTATGAAGTTATAATGTTCATTGAAAACAAGGATTATTACCTCAGGAGAATAAATAATTTCATCTGCACAAGTACAACTAATGCCTGTAGCAAGGGAATTTCTCACCTTTACTGCCCCACTAAAATGTCTCCTCTCTGCTGTGGAAGCCTGTCTCCTAAAACAGTGTGGTTCAGTTGCACTGAGCCACCAAATAGCAAGTTTTGGCAACAGCTTTCAGGAGTCAAAGTTCCCTGTTACTGCTCCCTGAAGCCAGCTTCCAAACATGAACTTTAATTTAAATCTTTCATAGACTATTATAATGTGGACCTTTCCTCTAATTGTCTAACGCCTCTTCTCTTTTCCCCTCAGCTGAATTTTGACTTGGATCGTGGCGTGTTCCCTGTGGTTATTCAAGCTGTCGTGGATGAAGGGGATGGTAAGCAAGATGCTTTTTCAGTGTTCTTTTCTTGCAGGCTCCTGATAGAGAGGGGCTTATTCTTTGTATGAGGGTATGCCTCATTTACCTGCACCAAATGATCTTTCTTATATTATAGCACAAACAAAGGCTATGAATTTAGAACATATCAGTGACAAGCCTTAAACACCCGTGTTAAGGGGCAAAATCACATTTAAGTGTGCTTTTTAACTTAGGGTGTGTGTGTGTTAGGGGGCGGAGTGGGTGGGGGTCAGGAGACCTGGGTTCAGAGTCTGACTGCTACAGGCTCCAAGTGACTGTAGGCAAGTCACTTCAACTATCTCTGGGCTTCTGTTCCCCAGCTGTGTTATGGAGAAAGTAATGCTTCCTTTTTGCTACTCTTTGTCTTGCTAGTTTAGGTTGTCTGTACAATGCCTGGTACAGAAACCTTGATCTCAGTTGAGACTTCTAGGTGCTATTGTAATATAGACATTTAAAAATGTCATTCCTGTATCTAACACAGGGGCAGGCAAAATACAGGCCATGGGCCGGATCTGGCCCACCACCTGATTGCATCTGGCTTGTGGGTGGGAGCCCACCACCTGATTGCATCTGGCCCAGCTCACGGAGCCCCACCCGCTCCTGCCAGGGCAGCAGGCTTCACTCCCGCCCTCGTGTGGAAGGATCCTGGCCGTGGCTGGTGCACAGGTTTTGAGCAGAGCTGCTGCTGCCTCTGCTGCAATGGCCCAAGGAACTGCTCAGTTCCCCCAACCTCTAATAGATCCTCCTCCTGTCTCTGCTGCAGTATTCCCAGCAGCAGGTAGAGAAGCGGGTGCAGACGGGGGAGAACTGCAGCTGAGCGGGAGCACAGAGCTTGGGCTGGTGGGAGCATGGAGCCTAAGTTGGCCCAGTTCTGTTGCACGGGACTCCCCCTGGCTCACGTGCAGCTTCCAGGACTTGTGTGGGGCTTCTCCCCAGTGGCGCACAATAGAGCTGGTGGCCTTCCCGCTCTGTGCTGCCACATGCAGCTCCCAGGACTCTGCTGGAAGCAGGGTGGATAAAAGTCAATGATTTTTTTTTAAAGAAATGAAAAAAAATGATTTTTTTCATTTAAAATCAAATTTTTCATTTAATTATTTTTTTATTTTATTTTTACTGCTTTTTGTTAAGATGCTTTTAAAAAAAAATAATAATAAAAGCCTGTCTGTCCGTAATGTTCCAGGCCAATTGCACATGCTCTGCCAAGAGGGCAGGTGGGGATTGGCTGGCCTGGGTGGCCATGGGCACAACTTTGCATTGGGGCTCAGAGGAAAAGGCGGAGGTGGTCGATTGCTGAGACTCGGACAGTTGATCTGAGGGGTGCTGGGGGTGCTGAGCACTCGTGCACATGTGCACACGTGCCCCTACCTCAGGTCAGCCTGTGAGGGAGGGAGGGAGGGTAGGGATGGGAGCCAGATCGTGGCCCCCATGGTGGGGGAGGGAGTGGGACACAAACAGGTGCAGGAGCTGAGGTGAGTGGGGCCCTGGTGAAGCTGGGTGGTGGGAGGATCAGAGCCTTGGTGGCTCATCCAGGGGCACAAGGGTCTCCCGCCACTGTGCGCACCCTGGTGGAGGCCTGGGAGGCACATGCTGTCCCAGTCTGTGCACGGGGTGGAGGCAGCTGCTGCACTCTGTGCTTTGAGCCCTGAGCCCCACCATAGCTGCCCCGGAAGTGGTACAATGCCATGTGCATCCCAGTGCCGGGTAGGCAGGGGGCAAGGCTCAGCCCAGCAGCGGGACACATGTGGTGTCGGGCCACTCCTAGGCTAGCTGCAGCAGGGCTCAAGGCGCAAATTCAGCATGCAGCAGCAACTGCCTCTGCCACATGCACAGATCAGGGGGACACGTGCCAAGTGTGGGGCAGTGTGGGCAGCTGTAGCAGCGGTGAGGGAGGGAATGGGGCTGGGACAGGGGAAGGCACTGCACAACTGGGGCAGGGCGTGGGACAGAGTCGCAAGTGGATCTGTCTGGGGGGTGTGGGGAGGTGGCGGGCATGCACCCGGGAGGGCATGGAGGGCGTGTGCCCCCAGATCTGCACGCGAGTGTGCTGCTACAGGCTGGGGCTGGGGAGCAGAACTGGGCTCTTCTGGGGGGGGCTGGGCTGTGCTCGGGGGGTGCTGGTGCTGGGAAGGGAGCTACAGGGGAGCAGGGGTGGGGTGCTGCAGTCATCCAGAAATTTGCCATAGCCCCCCAAGTCCCGCTCCGAGCATTGCCACTGCCCACTACGAGTACAGCCCAGCCCCTCTGTTGGGAAGAGCCTGGCACTGCCCCCCAGTCCCAGCCCACAGTGGCAGGCCCCCGTCCCCCCCTGCGCGATCCCCGGCGCCCAAGG